CGCGTGCTGCGTACTGCGGTCCTGGCACTCGTGTATTCTGTCGCGGAGCACTGTTCCCCTCTTACGTGCCACAGTTGCCACACGAGCAAATTAGACACGCAGCTCAATGAAGCTATGCGAATAGTAACAGTTACCGTGAAGCCAACCCAAACACATTGGTTACCGACTCTGGCGCATATTGAACCTCCCCATATCCGGAGGGGCGAGTAGGTGTATCACACGCTCCAGAACATTGATAGGAATCGCCATTTACCCATCCATCGTGTTCTCCAACAGCCACCAGCACGACGCCTGAAATCACGCCACCCACCATGGGAACGAGCAACGATACCGCGCTTGAGTCTCGTAAAACGGTGGCGAGCAGAGTGGGACGCAACAGCTGTCCATAACAAAGACCTATTCTCCAATCCGACCAAAGAACCCCCTGGCATGGAATTGAATCGCCTAGAATGGTTGACATTAAACGGGATTCGAACAGAACAAGGATATTCTGGTCACTAGAAGATGAAGTCCAACCCGCGTGTGACTGCGATCATGAAAATCAGACTATGCAGCACATTATTTCTGAATGTCCGCTGTGAAAGTTCGACGGCAGCATAACTGAAATTCAGAGTGCGGCGGCCATTCACTGGCTTAGAAATCTTGACACTGACTAACTAATGAAGTTGCTAGTCATTTCCTCCAGCCATAAGACAGAAGAACAAGAAACCGCAGCCTTAGAAGGCGTTTGCAAGCTAATCCGATAGGAAAATTAGGGGTCAACTATACATGGGCACTACTTAAATAATCTGCGGTATTTAGAAGATATTCTGATAATTTCGAGGGACTCATAAGAATTTCATAGAAGAATCTAAGAGAAGGACACCAACGTGAAACAGGACAAATGAGCCTGAATATGATTCAGGTAATGTTTAACAAATACGTGACTGCACGACCTGTTGAAATCAACGGACTTCGGCTTGATCAGGTACATAACTACGTGTAATAGATAAATCACCTATTCAACGGAGAGTCAACTAATCGATTAAGTGAAATCAACAAAAGAATAAAAATGGTATGGAGCACTTTCGGAAGACTGAAAATGTTCCTATCCATGAAACTATTCTTGTGCTTGAAACACAAAGTATTTTATCTGTATGTGCTCCCGGTGCCAACGTCTAAGTGCGAAACGTGGACCCAAAGCCTAAAAACTGTTAATAAATTACAGACTACGTAATACAATACGGAAAGGTGTCCATCAGGAATAACAAGAAAAGACAGGAACGAATGAACTGATTAAGAATACAAACAAAAGCCTGCGACGTCATTGTTTTAGTAAAGATGTTAACGTGGTAATCGACTGATCTTGCAAGAAGAACCGACCATGGTTGGATCAGAGGCATTAGACTGAGTTGCAAGAGAGAGTAAACGGTCCGTAGGAAGACCTCCAGATCGATCACAAGATCAGCTGACGAAGTTCGTGGATCAAGATGGCCGAAAATGGCAGAGATAAGCCCATAGCAAGTCTTGGAGAGGTCTTCATCCGGGAGCGAATCGACAAAGGCTGATTATGATGATATTCACGAAGATATCATTCTCAGGTGGTAGATAAAAACCGTCTAAGTCTACCGGAAAAGGCCCTGTGCCACTTCCAGGCCCTCAGTTCGGTAGGAATTCATTCAACGGCGCATAATAAAAGTCATTTATGAAATTGCTGTTCTGAAGAACAGGGCTTATGACACAAGAAATCCCATAAAATTTATTGATTCAGCATACCATGCTTAGTGGCTGTATTGCTTGGTAATGCAGCCTGCAGTACTGCAGTTCGAACGTCCAAATTATGGAAGGATCCAGAGTAGCCACGGTATGTACTGAAGAATACCGACGAACCGAACGCACAGCAAAGAAAACCATAATCAGTGAAAATAATTAACAGTATAGAAACTGGTGCGGCGATCTGAGAAGTCTTGTGGCCTGTCGCTCGAACGTGATTTTACGCTGTTCCAACTTTACCAACAATTAGCTCAGAAAAGAGTATTCAACGACGAACTTTGTAGCATACAGCTGGTGATAATCGGCCAATAACTGAACATAGCGGTCGAAGTCCGAACAAACGACGGTCGTAATGAAACTTTTATATTCGCCGGCGAATTAGTACCGTTGTAATGACGCCAGGCGAAACGACCGGTACCTAGTCTCTGACGATACTAATGCTAGAGCTGCGAGCCCAACGATGGCTCCGTCGGTGTCAACATATTCTTACGCAAAGCTGTAGCGAAACTGTGCATGCGAGAGCATGACGCTGCAAATATC